TTGTTACTGTTCGTGTTTGGGGAACTTGGAAGGCAAATGAGTCCCCAAAAGGTCAGCAGCAACAGCAGCAAACCCTAAGTGCTGCAGCCCGAAGCAGCAGCGCTCCAAAATGGCCCTTTCGTGCAGCCGCGCGAAGGCCCGCCGCAGCCCCTGCAGCAGAGAATATAAATTAAATAAATAAATAAATAAATAAATAAATAAATAAATAAATAAATAAATAAATAAATAAATAAATAAATAAATAAATAAATAAATAAATAAATAAATAAATAAATAAATAAATAAATAAATAAATAAATAAATTGGAGAGGAGGAGAGGAAGCAGCAGCAAACGGACGAAGCGGCGGCGGCTGAGGCCGCCGCTGCGCCTCAGGGCTTAGGGTTTAGGGTTTAGGGTTTAGGGTTTAGGGTTTAGGGTTTGGGACCTGCTGGGAGACCGTTTGAGTGCGCAAGTCTTGCATTTTGAAGAAGGAATTAACTTCTCGCAAAACAGCAGCAAAAGTCTTCGGCAAAATTCTGCTGCGGTGCAGCTTCGCCATTGCTGCCAGCACCAAGTGTTCAGACAGCGACAGCTCCTGCCACTCCGGGTCTTGCTGCTGCAGCAGCAGCAGCAGCAGCAGCAGCAGCAGCGGCAGCAGCAGCGGCAGCAGCAGCAGCAGTGCGCGGGGGCGTTGGAAGGAGCAGCAGCGCAAGAAGCAGCAGCAGCAAAAGCAGAAGCAAAAATGGCACCAGGCACAAGCAGCAGCAGAAGCAAAAGCAGCACAAGTAGCAGCAGCAGCAGCAGCAGCAGCAGCAGCAGCAGCAGCAGCAGCAGCGCACGTAAGAGGAATGATGTGCAGTAGTCCGCGAAGGGAAGGGAAAACAAAGACACGGAATCCTGACACAGTTCACGCTGTTCGTGCTGCTGCTGCTATTGCTGCTGCTGCTATTGCTGCTGCTGCTGTTGCTGCTGTCGCTGCTGCTGCTGCTGCTGCTGCTGCTCGCCTTACCTCCGCAGTACTGATTGCGTCTGCACACAATTTCAGCCGCAATCCCTCCTTTTTTTTCTGCTGCTGCTGCTGCTGCTGCTGCTGCTGCTGCTGGCTGTCCCCCTCAGCAACGGGAGAAGCAGCAGCAGCAGCAGCAGCAGCAGCAGCAGCAGGCTCCTGCTGCCAGCAGCTGCGGCCCCCCTCTGTTTGCCGAATAGGCGAGTGCAGCGGCGAGAGGGCCTCGGGGGCCTCGGGGGCCCCCCAAGCTGCTGCTGCTGCTTCAGCAGCAGCACGCGGCAGCGGGGGCCGCAGCAGCAGCAGCGGATGCACAGCAGCAACAATGAAGCTGCGGGCGTCTCGCCCCAAAGCCAGAGCGCGCTCGCACAGAGCCTGCAGCAGCAGCAGCAGCAGCAGCAGCAGCAGCAGCAGCAGCAGCAGCAGCAGCAGCGAAGGACGCGCGTGGAGAAGCAGCAGCAGCAACGGCTATTGCGAAGCAGCAGGAGCAGCAAAGAAGCAAGCACCGCGGCCACCCCCGAGCAGCACGCACGCCCAGAACAGCAGCAGCAGCAGCAGCAGCAGCAGCAGCAGCAGCAGCAGCAGCAGCAGCAGCAGACTGACAACAAATTTGGGGTCACTGAATTCTTTGTCGACTGCAGCATCGAAGGCCTTAAGAAACCTCTCAGCCCTCTGCAAGTCCCCCCCATACCCCCCGCCGCCGCCGCTGCTGCTGCTGCTGCTGCTGCTGCTGCTGCTGCTGCTGCTGCTGCTGCTGCTGCTGGGGGCGAGGAGCTGCTGGGCGTCGACGGCGAGTAGGCTGCTGCGGAGGAAGCGGAGGAGCTGGGGTGTACGTACACCCGAAGAGAGAGCGAGTTTTTGCATTGTAAATCTGCTGCGAATTCTTTTTTCCATAAAATCAATTAAATCCAAAACTGGAGAAAGACAAACAGTGAAGATGTGGAGGCCTTGTGCGTGCTGCAGGTCGAAGAGGTTGTACAGCAGCTGCTGCTGCTGCTGCTGCTGCTGCCCGCTGCTGCTGCGCTCCCGCTGCAGCAAGCAGCAAACTTCCGCGCGGTCCAGCACCAGCAGCACGGCCCGCCCCAGCAGCGAGCAGCAGTCCAGCAGCAGCAGCTGCAGCCGCTGCAGCCAGTCGCCGAAGCTGCCGCCGCCCTGCTGCAGCAGCTGCTGCAGCTGCTGCTGCTGCTGCTGCAGCAGCTGCCGCTGCTGCAACGCCGCGCACAGCCGACGCACGATCGCCTGCAGGATCGCCGTGTCGCTCGCGTACAAAGAACAGTTCACACGCACCACCAGCAGCTGCCGCTGCTGCTGCTGCTGCTGCTGCTGCTGCTGCTGCTGCTGCTGCTGCTGCTGCTGCACGAAGCGCAGCGCGCACTCAACTGCTGTTGTTGCACCGGAGCCGCGGGGCCCCAAAACCAAAACGCTGCTTTTCTCTTTAAGTTCGAGGCAGCAAATAAGCTTCGCAGCAAAGGCCCCAGCCACCGCCTCCACAGAAGCCCCCTTGCTGCTGCTGCTGCTGCTGCTGCTGCTGCTGCTGCTGCTGCTGCGGGCGCGGAGTGCAGCAGCAGCAGCACTTTCGCCCCGCAGCAAAGACTCCACAAGCGGGGAAGGCTCAAACCCACTCTTCCGCGGGGGGCCCCCCGGGGGCCCCCCTAATGATATGCTGTGCAGCTCGCCCCTGAGAGCAGCACGAAGCCGCTGCCGCAGCACGTGCTGCAGCAGCAGCAGCAGGTACTCTCCGGACTGGAGGCGGTCCAGCAGCACTTCGGAAAAGGGAGGGATGGCCTCGGCCTCCCTTTCTGCTGCTGCTGCTGCGGCGGCTTGAGCTGCTGCTGCTGCTGCTGCTGGCTCTGGCGCGGCCGCTGCTGCTGCTGCTGCTGCTGCTGCGGTGTGCGCGTCTGCAGGGGGCCCCGGGGAGCTGCAGCGGCGCTTCGGGGAAGGCTGAGGGTCCTCTGAGGGGCCCCTGGGCCTCCGAGCCCCCAAGGGGGGCCCCATAGTGCTGCCTGGGGGCCCCTCTTGTCTTAATTGCTGCAAAAGTGTGGCTAGAAGGGCACAGAGACGCAGCAGCAGCAGCGAGGGGCCCCAGACAGCGCTGGGGGCCCCACGGAAGAAGCACAGATATAGCAGAAAGCTGCAGTCCAGGGTGTTTTTTGTTTATTTAATCAGTTATATTTTACAAATTATAAATAAAAATGCTGCAGCTATTAAGAATAACGAATTTGAAAGACAAACGGGGGGCCCCAGAAGGCGCGGTGGCTTGGTGGTGATTGTGTTCGGGTGTACGTACACCTGAGCAGCAGGGGGCTTTGGACTCGAATCGGCGGCCAGAATATGAAATGAATTTAAAATATATTTTAAAGTTACTTTTTAATTTCATTTTTAATTTAAAAGGATCGTTTTGCCTTTATTTGCTGCAAAAACCGCAGCGAATGCTGAGGACCCCCTGGAGGCTGGAGCCCGGGTGTCACGACTGCGGGAAAAAGCACTGCAAACTGGCATTCAGCTCAAATAAATGAACAAATACAATTTAAATCTTAAATCATTAAAATTTAATTGCTTTTTTTGATGCATCAAATCGGGGAATCTCGCAATTACACCCCAACTTCCCCGGACTTTGTTGCATTGAGGCGCAGCTGTCGGGTGTACGTACAGCTGCCCCTGCGCGGGTCCCACTCACAGCTAAGAAGGCGTCTTCTGAAGTGGAAAGGAATTTAAATATAATATAAACCAAACTTTATTTCCAAATAAATATTATTTCAAGTGCAGCATGCATGCTTCTTTCGCTGCTGCTGCAGCAAAGACTTTGCTGCTGCTGCAGCAAAGACTTTGCTGCTGCTGCAGCAAAGAAGCTTACAGGCAGCAGCAGCAACGGCTTCTTTTCTGAGCTGCTGCTGCGGTGTCTGTGCAAAGGCGCTGCGGCGCTCAGAAGGATCTGCGGGGCTTCAGCAGCAAAACTACACATAAGAGGATATTGAAAATGCTGCTGCTCCTGAAGCTTCAGCAGCAGCCAGCAGCAGCAGGCAGCAGCAGCAGCCAGCAGCAGCAGCCAGCAGCAGCAGCCAGCAGCAGCAGCCAGCAGCAGCAGCCAGCAGCAGCAGCAGCTAGCAGCAGCAAGAACAAAAGAGGTACGAGTATGGCCCCGTATAAAGGCTCTTCAGACTGCTGCTCGTGAAACACCTGCGGCAGCAGCTGCCGCTGCTGCGCCTGCTGCTCATGGCGCTTCCTATTGCTGCTGCTGCTGCTGCTGCTGCTGCTGCTGCTGCCTTCTGCGACTCGAGGTGAAGTGCAGGGGCGGGCACGTCGCTTACGATGCTTTGACGGACCACAGCAGCAGCAGCAAGAAGCTGCAGCAGCTGAACAGCAGCAAATTGAAAAGGAAAAAAAACAGACCAGCCGCCAAAGTTTTCGCAGTGTAAACCCTAAACCCTAAACCCTAAACCCTAAACCCTAAACCCTGAACCCTAAACCCTAAACCCTAAACCCTAAAGTGTAAGCGTGGAATCTTGAAAAGGTATTTATTAGAAAGCCATTTCAAGTACAGATGCTACATTTAAGAAAAACATAATATTAATAAGAGTTTATTGATTAAAATGAATTCAAGAAATGAATTAAAAGATAATTAAAAATAAAATCTTTAAAAAAGAGAATTAAAAATTAAAACTGAGTCCAAATGGTCTTTTTTGCCGCAGTGTAAACCCTAAACCCTAAACGCTAAACCCTAAACCCTAAACCCTAAACCCTAAAGTGTAGGCCTGGAATCTTGAAAAGGTATTTATTAGGAAGCCTTTTTTGTGTCTTTTGATCCACTGAAAGACAAAATGTCTCAAAATATTTTTCAAAAGACTTTAAAAGTCATTTATTTGAAAGTGGCATTAAATGGTATTTTTTTATTTCTTTTGAATTATCTTTTATTAAATGAACTTCCTAAAATGCTGCTGCTGAGTGGACCAGTGCTGCCGGCAAAATGTGACCACTGGTCACTTCTTTTTGCTGCAGGACTTCGGGAAATATTTTACTTTTATTTTTTAATTTAAAAAAGATATGCAAAAGGATAATAGAGCAGAATTTTCTTGAAGAGGAAATTTGACTGGCATTTAATTTTCGAGTTTCGTTTAAATTGCATTTATTGAAAAACAAATATTTTATAAAAAAATTTTTGGACAAATATTTCTCTATTTTACATCTAGTGTCAGTTCATAATTTTATTTTAAATTCTTTTAATAAGTATTTCTTTATTTTGCATTTAATGGCAAATTAGAATTTAAATTTATAATTTTATTTAAATTCTTTTAATAAGTATTTCTTTATTTTGCATTTAATGGCAAATTAGGATTTCAACTTTAAAGAAATGCGTTTATTTCCTGAGTTTCTCCCTCAGCAGCAGTAGCAGCAGCAGCAGCAGCAGCAGCAGCAGCAGCTAGCAGCTCTCTGGCTTCAAAAGCGGCTCATTTCGAAGCATTTTAATTCAATTAAATGCTAAATAGCAATAAATAAATGAATTTTAAATTATTAAATTTAAATAAATTAAAAATAATGCCAAGAAGTGAATCAGAAGTGTAATTTGGCAAATCCTGAAAACCAGAAACGCCACTCTTCTCGAAGACCTGCAGGGCTGAGCAGCAGTTATAGCCCTTTGATTGTTTTAAATTGAATTAAAATAAATTAATTTATTAATTTAATTAATTTTTATAAATTAAATTAATAAATTTATTCATTTCAACCAATTTAATTTGTTAAACCCGTCCTTGAGCGCATGCAGTCGCTGCATGCATGCAGCCGGGGGCTGTGGGGCTGTGAGCAGGCGAGCCTTCCTGGGGGTTCCTTTAGCAATTAAAATAAATAAATAAATAAAATTAATTTAAATTTAAATTAAAAATTTTTCTGCTGCAGCAGCTCAACGACAAGCGCCCTGGAACGGCGGCCCGCGACGTGAGACCAGCAGCAGCAGCAGCAGCAGCAGCAGCAGCAGCAGCAGCAGCAGCAGCAGCAAAAACGCAGAGTTGGGCCAAATTGAAAGCTTTTTAAAACTGGCACTGCATGCAGAGAATTGGGCTGGCTTAGTGGCTTTAGTGTGTGGACTTGGAGGCATTTTTGGGGCCTTTTTGGAGTTAGGGAATAAAGAAAAAGTCTAGAGGAGAAGAAGTGCTGCAGCGCTGCTGCAGCAGCTGCTGCAGCAGCAAGCCCTCACAGTGCGCGTTTTGCTGCTGCTTCTGCTGCTGCTTGCTGCTGCTGCTGTCCCGCAGCCCCCCTTTGCTTCTTCTCCTTTGCTGCTGCTCCAAAAGAAGGAAAATGGCCCCCAAGAAAAAGGAAGAAGTTGAAGAAAAGATTCTTCTTGGCAGGCAAGACAGACCAGTGGACCACCGCTGTGACCAGTGGACCTTCGCGGGTTTTTGGTCTTTTTGTTTCAATTGCAGCTCAATTAGTCCGGATTTCTTTGCCATTTTATTGTAATTAATAACAGGAATTGTTTTATTTAAATGGCAGACTCCAGCGCAGCAGAACAATTAATTTTGTTTTAAATTCGCTGAGGTGTACGTACACCTGGGGAGTGAAAAGTGCAAAATGGTCGAAATTGGGTCATTTTTGTTCATTTTTTTTGATTTAAATTAATAAAAATGAATTATTTTAATAAATGTGAAATATTAAATGCTTTTTTGCTGCTGCAGACCCAAAAATACCCTCAAAATGGGAATGGTCGGCCTCCCCAATGTGGGCAAAAGCACCACTTTCAACTTGCTTTCCAAGCAGTCCGTTCCCGCGGAAAATTATCCCTTCTGCACAATTGACCCTCACGAGGCAAGGATGAACGGTGAGGCCCTGCTGCTGCTGCTGCTGCTGCTGCTGCTGCTGCTGCTGCTGCTGTTACCCCTGGCACAGCTACAAATACCGCTGCTGCTGCTGCTAGGACCGTTCCCTTTGCTGCTGCTGCTGCTGTGGCGATACGCCGCTGCTGCCGCCGCTGCTGCTACCGCCGCCGCTGCTGCTGCTGCTGCTGCTGCTGCTGCTGCTGCAGTGCCGGACGAGCGTTTCAAGTGGCTGTGCAGCCACTTCTCCCCCAAAAGCGAAGTTGCTGCGACTCTGTCGATTTTCGACATCGCCGGACTTGTCCCTGGAGCGCACAAGGGCGAGGGCCTCGGCAACGCCTTTCTCTCTCACATCCAGGCCGTCGACGGCATTTACCACGTGGTCAGCAGCAGCAGCAGCAGCAGCAGCAGCAGCAGCAGCAGCAGCAGCAGCAGCAGCAGCAGCAGCGGCAGCAGCAGCAGCGGAAGCGGTTTTCGTAGCGGCAGTATTCGTAGCGGCAGCGCCATTCGTTGCAGCAGCAGCAGCAGCAGCAGTGTTCGTAGTAGCAGCAGTAGTAGTAGCAGCGGCGAGTGGCAGGAGTAGCAGCAGCAGCAGCAGCAGCAGCAGCAGCAGCAGCAGCAAATGCAGCAGCAGCAGCAGCAGCAGCAAAGATGATATCTATAGTTACAGAATGCAGCAAATACAGAAAATGCAGCTGCAAGATGCACAAAGTCCAAATAATTCATTTATGATAAACAGCAGGAAGCAGCAAATGAAAATATAAATTTATTTTTTAAATTTAAAATGGTTTTTAAAAGTTCTTCATTTGGAATTTAAACAAAGTTTAAAAGTATTCAAAAGATCCAAAACAATTAAAGACAAAACAACAAAAAATGAAGAATATTGAAACGCTGCAACTGCATGCAAGCCTCCAACCGCTGCTGCTGCTGCTGCTGCTGCTGCTGCTGCTGCTGCTGCTGCTGCTGCTGCTGCTGCTGCTGCTGCTGCTGCTGCTGCTGCTGCTGCAGGTGCGGGCGTTTGCAGACGAAGAAGTGGTGCACAGCGAAGGCGAAGTGGACCCCGTGAAGGACTTGGCGACAATTGCTGCTGAGCTGCGGCTGAAGGACTTGGAAAGGGCGCAGCGGCTGCTGGAGGAGCAGCGCAGCAGCAGCAGGCAGCAAAAGGTTTTGGACAAAAACAAAAAGCTGCAGGAAGAAGTTCTCCAGGCTGTCATAAAGTTGCTGCAGGACAACAAGTGGGTGCAGCAAGGTGCGCTCCCCGCTGCTGCTGCTGCTGCTGCTGCTGCTGCTGCTGCTGCTGCTGCTGCTGCTGCTGCTGCTGCTGCTGCTGCTGCTGCTGCTGAGCCCGGCCGCAGCACTTGGGGGTGGGTCTCGCTGCAGGGAACTGGAAAGCAGCAGAAGTGGAAGTGCTGAACGAATACCAGTTTTTGACGGCGAAGACAGTCGTTTATCTCGTGAACTTGAGTGAAAAAGACTTCATTCGACAAAAGAACAAATGGCTGGCCAAAATCCACAACTGGGTCCAAGAAAATGTCCAAGGGCCCATCATTCCCTACTCCGCAGTCTTCGAAAACAAACTTGCAGAAATGGCGAGCGAAGAGGAGCGCCAGAACTACATCAAGGTGCGTTTTTTCGGGTGTACAGACACCTCAACTTCTGCATTCATTTTTCGACTTTCTCCAATTAAAGAAACATTAAATGCACTTTTTCCATTTAGTTGCAAATAACGCGTTTTTATCCCACACAAGCGGGGCTGTGCGTGCAGCTTTCCCGGCCTAGGGTTTAGGGTTTAGGGTTTAGGGTTTAGGGTTTAGGGTTTGGGGGGTTTGTGTGTGCAGAGCAGCGGAGCCTCCAAAAGCATGCTTGACAAAATAATTCAAACTGGCTATCATGCGTTGCATTTAATTCATTTCTTTACTTGTGGCGAAGACGAAGTGAAGTGCTGGACAATTCGCGCAGGTGCTTTCTTTGAAGTTGAAAATCCCAAAAGACACTTTTCTTCTTTTTTCAAATTGCTGCATTTGTTCTTTCCATTTCTCTCAAACTATTCTGTTCTCTGTTCTCGCTGCTGCTGCTGCTGCTGCTGCTGCTGCTGCTGCTGCTTCCTCTCCCCTACTTGAACTGCCGCGTCAATCTGCTTCCTGCTAAAAAGGACCTCAGCACTTTGCTGCTGCTGCTGCTGCTGCTGCTGCTGCTGTCTAATCTGCTTTAAGTGAAATTTCGGCTAAGTCCATTTGTTAAGAATTGCGCAACTCGGTGGTGTTTGAAGCAGCGGAGGTCGTGGCTGTTTAGTCTAGTGGTATGATTCTCGCTTAGGGTGCGAGAGGTCCCGGGTTCAATTCCCGGAACAGCCCCTTTTAGTACTTCTTTAACTTGCATGTCTAAGCAGCTCACTGCTCTCAAATATACTTTTAAGTTTTATTATTATTTTTTTCCTTTTCGAATCCACCTTTTAATTACTGATTTTCCTCCTGTTCATGCTCGGGCACTGCGTGCCAGACTGCAGCTTTCCTGACATTTCAAATGCACATTAGTCCTCTATAAGTGTTTCAAATATTTACAAAAGCATTTTTAATATTTATATTTCTCTATTATTGAACTCATTAGACAGATTTTGCAAATTATAATGCAAATAAATGGGCAGTCGTGTTTGCACTGATGCATAAACCTGCGGATACACCCCGCGTTTTGCAGCACTGAAGCGTGGTCATAAATAAGCACGGGAATATATCTATGTTCATGAAAATATATAATTATAAAATGTATTTGTTTTTATTTTTTAGCTTTTTACTATTAACAACGGTCTGTACGAGGACACTCTGAGTATAACAATGAGAAAGAAGCTGTTTTATATACTGAATATTTCAAGGATGCAGTTCTGTTACAAATGCATGCAAGTACTTATGTGTACATGCATGCAAACCTTTTTGAAGCTTTTGCATGCAAATTTGTTCTTTTCTTTGCTGCTTTTCAGGCACCAAGGCCCCTCAGGCTGCCGGTGTAATTCACACAGATTTTGAACGCGGGTTCATTTGTGCTGAAGTGTACAAGTACACAGACCTCGTCGAGCTCGGCAGCGAGAATGCAGTGAAAGCAGCAGGGAAATACTTGCAAAAGGGGTCAGTACTTAGGGTTTAGGGTTTAGGGTTTGGGGTTTAGAGCTGCACAAACCCCAATTGTACTTAGCTACCACATCGCACAGCAGTCTCGTGGCGTGTAGTTCATGACATTTTTTCGGTTATCTGCAGAATTATTTCTTGCAAATGTCTGCAATTTGTTTGGATTTTGTTTTTCAGTTTTTTAATTCGGTTTTCTTGCAAATGTCTGCAATTTGTTTGGATTTTGTTTTTCAGTTTTTTAATTCGGCTTTCTCGTGCCAGTTTCACAGTCTGCATTGGCAGAGACAGCACACTAGAAATGTTTTGGTTTCTGCTGCATTTGGCAATGCTTGTCCGTTTTTGATTTATTTTTTGTTTGGCCTTCCCATCACTTAACTCTTTTCTTTTAATGCAGATCCTTTTATAATAGAAGTAGAATCTCCATTATATTCATATGTATCTAATAATTCTCAAGACAGTACTAATTGAACCAATAGAACACATTGTGTTCAGATAAGTTACATAGTCAGGATAATCAGGTGTTCTACGTGGCACAATAATATCATCAGATTTATAATTTAAAATTTCTCTTAAATTATATGAACTTCCATAAGCTTCTATTGCCCATATTTCCATTTCTCCGAATCTTTGTCACTATTTCAAAAGGTATTATAACTAGAAAAAGTTTTAATACCTTTTGAAATAGTGACAAAGATTCAGAGAAATGGAAATATAGAAAAGTTAATCTTGTGCTTTTATACTTTTCCAAAACCCCTTATGTTTTGCTTTTGCAGCAAGGACTACGTCGTGGAGGACGGGGACATAATATTTTTCAAGTTTAATGTAACAAACAGCGCAAAGAAGTGATTCTGAGTCAACTTGAAAATTTAATTTGAATTACAAAGGATAATGATATGCAAAAGATCAACTGATTGCTTCCTCAACTACAAATTGGCTACCTACTTTGGCTGCGGCAACGAAGCAGCAGCTGTGGACTTTTCCTTTGTTTGCATTTCTTGCCTTTGTTTTCGTCTACTTCACCAAGTTTTCCATTCCTTTCGTTTTATTTAGCATATTTGTTTTATTTTCTTTCTTTTTTTGCTCCCCAGAGTTTCAAGTAGGGCTCTAGGCCTACGCTGTTGCAGATTGAATCTCAGATCAGCTGCTACACCAGTGACACTGCAACAACCTGAAGCTGAAAGACTCTTGCAAATGTTCATCGGCCTCACTAAAAGCATGAAAGGCACAGCTTTTATTGTTTTAAAGACTTTATTGAATTCAAAGATAGGGTTTTGCCAAGACACATAGGACTAGACTTCCTTTGCATGCAGCCTAAGCCAGCTCCAGGCTGCAGTTTCTCTCCAGCCCATGCTCTATTATAAATAATAATTTTATCTAACGCTGAGTCCCGTTTTCAGTCCACTGACTTTCTTTCGAAAACTGAAGAAACCGCCAAAGAGTAACTTATTTATTGCTGAAACCTGTGGGAGCAGTTTCGATTCACCAGTATTACCCAGTGACTGTAAATGACAATTGCAAAACGGATTTCTAAGTTAAATAACTATCACATCTTGCGTTTTTTCCGCACACATGAAGTAGCCTGCAGCTGCGCGCAATGCCTTCACTGGCTTGCGAACTTAGCAGGATAGGCACAAACACTCTGTGAGTTAATGCCGAAGGAACGAACCGGCATTCTAAAAAGTTCTAATCCCTCTGCACACGTCGCGGAAGAGACGCACAAATTGAAGTGTGTTCGTTCTTCAGGACATTTATATTCTCATTTTTGTTTATGAAATCTCGTTAAGTCTATACGGGGTCAGTTTGGAGGTGTCACCTTAACTTTGCGCCATAGGTCCTGAAACCTCGAGTCTTTTCCACGAAAATTTCCGCTCTTCTCAGCCAGTTTTCAATCTGCAATTGGATATAACTCGTGTTTCAGTTCTCGGCGGGAAAAAAGAAATCACGGAAGGCAAATAGAAGGACCAATAAGGAATGACAGTCACCAGAAATCAGAAGAAATGGCCTTGCACACTCTGATGCTCTCATGCACCCGAAAATGTACAATTGCCCACGCATATCAGCCACGGTCGCTTTTGTTCCTTGAGGATGCACGAAAAATTCAAGAATCTGAATGCTGGCTGTTACCCTTTCTGCTTTTGTGAATGCGCTCTGTGCAGCTAGAATGGGAAACTTTCATGAAAAAACGAATGAGATAAGTGGAAAAACATGCTAAAATGGAACAGACTCTGCTTTTAAAAGGACTAGCCTGTACAGTATCTATCAGAGTCTATTCGTTTCAGCTTTTGAACCTCACTGCTGCGTGAAGAGTTGCTGCTCCTGGGCTCCTGTCCTTCTCTGTCTTTCTCGCCATTTTTTCCACACAAACTAGTTCGATCATAGTTTTAAAGACTCTGATACTTTGAAATGGCATTATCGACTGCACAACTAGTTGCGATGCTGCTGACATTTAAATCTGAATTGCCTGCTTACCGACTGACTTCGTTTCATCGCCAACTTTGGCAACTTTGACTTGCGCACAATTATATTTTCCACATTTATGCTTTTCATGGTTATAATAAACCTATTTTAAATTTACCCTAATGCTGATTCAACATTTAAAGGACGGGAAAGACATATTAGGCTAGGGGAGCTCTTAGGGTCACTTGGACGCTCCTAACCAACTTCAAACCCCACCACAAGTAAACCGCAGTTGCATCGGCCGTCAAGCCAGGAAACTAGCCCAAGTTCCAATTTTCAGATAAATGCAGTGGAAAATGAAGGTCAGTAAAAGAACGAGCATGCTTTTGAGGCATTATTGTGCAAAGCAAGGCGGGGTGAGCTTGCCACACATCCGAAACCGGAAGCCGTTGGATCGAACGAGTTGTCCGCAGTGTTTTGCAAAAAATTGCGCTGAGAAAAAGGTACAAGTAACAAGCAATTATAGGGTTTTAAGCAGTATTGATTTCATAGAAAAGGCCGAAGGACTCACGATTGTCCGTGCACGGCTCCCCGTCGGCTGCGCCCGCAGAAAAGGAAGAAAGAGACCTGCCTTCGTGAGTCCTGCGGCGTTTCTCATGCAAGTATCCACAAAATCAGTCCTTTTATATTTTAAAATTTTTATTTCAGGTTTATTTGCAAGAAAAAAGGAGTAAAACGCGCGCTGGATCATTGGGAAGACGAAGGGGCCTCTTGGCTGGCGGTGGCTGCGGCCCCAGTAGGTGGCCGCGCATGTGGCATGCTGCCTCTTCTGTAGCATGAACATAATTGGAAATTAAAGATCTGCTTGTCTAAAGCCAATACACTTCACATTGTTTCGTACTGAGAGGGACAGAAACAACAGCAGTAGCTGCAGACTGCTGCGCGTGCTCAAACACTCAAGGCAAAGGTGTCAGGCCTTCCTCGCGCCGGCGTTGCCGTTTGTTTCTTCCCCTAATTCTATTGTACTTCTTTAAAATTTGAAGAGCAAAAGTGCCCAAGTTTATCTTTTGCTTGCCTTTTCTTGGTGTATTTCTCTCTTGCATGTATGTGCTCGTTTCTGGTGTCACCGACCAGCGAGTCGCCTGTGAGCCCTTCAAGTCCTGTGGCTGTATGTGTCTTTCCCAGCTCACTTTGTCTTCCTTGACCTTCCACTGAACCACTCTTTTTAATTTTTTTTTCGTTTTCATATTTATTCCCAGTTTTCCAGTTGACTCTCGGAATATGCTCTCTTAACAGCAGACGCGGCGTCGCTCCAGCGCAGGCCTCTGAAGCCACTCTCAGCAGCGGTAGCAAAAACAAAGACGCAAATAATTAAGTGGGATCAAACCTGTAGAAAAGTAGAGAGGAGAGGGCCAAAGGAGAGCCGCTGGCTCTGTAGATCTCCGACTGAAAGGACAGCCAGGAGTCCACTCTTCATTGATGGGAAGCCACTTTTCGCCATTGTTCTCGTTTTAAGTTCAGATTTATGATGCGCGAACTGACTCTTGGCCCTGCTGCGCCCCCTCAACCCTCCAGTCTATCCCTGTGCTGCTGCTGCTGGGGCCATGAAGCCTGCGGCGGCGCCCCCCTCTTTGCCTGCAGGGGAGCCCCTATTCTTTGGGGCCCCCCAGAAGGCCCCCCAGGACCCCAAGAATCGGAGACCACTGGTCCCTCGGCTTCACCTAGCTATAGGATCCTGTAGCCCCAACGCCACAAGTGAAACCGAGGGCGGGCCCCCAGGGGGGCCCCTGGGGGGGGCCCCCCCCAACTCCTCGCAGCCCTTGCCCCAGGGCCCCAGAACCTCCAGGGTTCACTTCACTGGGGCAGCCCACGAGGGCCGAGTGCCTCTGCGGCACCGCTGGGTCCGTAATGGCTGCTCCTCTCTGGCCCCAGAGTCTGTGCTGCACCTGTGTACCTACAGGGGGCCCCCCAGGGGCCTCCAAGAGCTAAGGGGGCCCCCCCACTCAGGGGGCCCCACGACAGTCCTGCATGCCTTTGCGCAGGCTAAGGCGTTGAACTTCGGCGGCCACTCCGAGTGCAGCGCCCCTCACCATCACCACCATCACCAGCAGCAGCAGCAGCAGCAGCAGGCGCAGCAGCAGCCGCAGCAGCAGCTGCAGCAAGCTGCACACGAATCGCAGCGCTCTCCCAGGAACCCAGAAGCGTCCGAGCGGCCCAGCAGAGGCCGGAGGGGATCTGGGGGCCCCCCTGGGGCCCCTGGGGGCCCCGAAAGTCCTTCTTTGTCCTCCACTAGTCGCCAGCCCGCCTCAGCAGCAGCAACTGCAGCAGCAGCAGCAGCAGCTCAGCGCGGAACGCATGCAGGAAAGGGCCTCTCGCTGGATTTGAGGCCCCTAGCGGGGGCCCCCGCGGAAAGCCCGAGGCAGCTGGAGGCGCCCTGGGGGCCCCCCATCCAGGGGCAGCAGGGGCCCCCGGGGCGCAGCAAACGCCTGGACCCTAGTGAAGCAGCAGCAATGAGAGACTATACTCTTCGCATGTCTCAGTACAGCGAGTGGCAGGCGGAGGGTCTTGCGGATGGTCTTTTGCAGCAGCAGCGGCGGGGCCACCTGACGGCGAGGCCGTCGACCTTTGCTGCTGCTGCTGCTGCTGCTGCTGCGGACTGCAGCAGCAGCCTGCAGGGCCCCCCGCCACACAGCGAAACCCCGCGGGCCTCCCGAAACCGCGTGCAAAGCCTCGTGCAGCAGCTGGAGGCCCGCAGGATCCGCTGCATGGGAGGCAGCAAATTGCGGGAGGCAGCAGGAGGCTCTTTGACAGAGAGGGGCCCCCGGCCGGGCACAGTGAACTTGAGGGGGGAAATAATTTGCAGCAGCAAGGCCTCCACGGGGGGCCCCTGGGGCCCCTTTCCGACCCACCGGCAAGATCTGCCTGCGCAGCAGCCCGCTGATAGCAGCCAAGATCAGCTGCAGCCACCAGCCCCTGCTGCATGCACTCAGGAGAGGCCCCCGGCCCAGTTCTTTGAGGCCTTCGGAGCTGCAGAAAGCCCCGCAGGTCTTGGGGGCCCAGAGGGAAGCTGGGGAAGTGAAAGTGCCCAGCTGCAGTCGGCGCTGACTCGGGGGGCCCCCGAGAAGCTCGTGGGGTCTTACTTCCTGGGGCGCACCATAGGAGAGGGCACTTTTGGCAAAGTGCGCGTGGGAACGCATGCATTGACGGGCGAATGCGTGGCCATTAAAGTCATGGAAAAGGACAAATTAAAGGCAGCAGAAGACGCAGAAAGAGTCCTCAGAGAAATACACATTTTGAGGGCCGTCAGACACCCCCATGTCATACACTTGCTCGAGGTTCGACACGCGCAGCAGCAGCAGCAGCAGCAGGAGCTTTCCTGCTGCTGCTTCGCAGCAGCTCCTGAAATGCGCATTTTGGCGCATTTACTGCAGATTCTTGGCTTGTGTATCTTTCGAGTTTTTCTCGTGGTGCCTCCGCGGGCTCTGCATTTAACTTAAATGCTTTTTGTTTGACTTGCATTTGTGCGTGAGTCCGCAGATAGTGGAAACTGCTTCCCGTTTGTACTTGGTGATGGAACTCGCTAACGGCGGGGAGCTGTTTGACTTTATTGTGCAAAGACAGCGCGTAGACGAAGACACAGCGCGGCGGCTTTTCAGGCAAATCCTCTCGGGAGTAGAGGCGCTGCATTCCATGTGCATCTGCCACAGGTGAAAAGCCGCACAATTTAATCGAACAAAACCACAAACAATTGACTCAATTAAGGTTCTCTAGAAGGAAAAAGACTAATTATTTCCCCCAAACGACCAAGCTGCAGCAGCTAGCGAAGAACCTGCCGCAGTGAACGAGTTTCTGCCTACCTTGGGGCCCCCAAGCACTTTTGGAACAAGGGTGGCCTCCTGGGGGCCCCCCTATTTCTTTTCTGTTCATTATGATGAATAGTCTGGGCCAAGCCACATTTGCTGCGCAGCCCTTCACTAATCTGCGCATGTTATCTGTCTTTGTGTCCTATTCCCAGAGATTTGAAACCTGAAAACTTGCTGCTGGATTCATCATTGAACATAAAGATTGTTGACTTTGGCCTCTCTAACATCTATAGACACAAAACAATGCTCAAAACTGCATGCGGATCCCCCTCTTACGCAGCACCAGAGATTGTGCAGGGCAAGCTCTACTCGCCGCTGGCCGTCGACATATGGAGCTGCGGGTGAGCACGCCTGCAGCAGCAGCAACAGCAGCAGCAGCAGCAGCAGGAACAGCAGCATCTTCGCTCTAAGTCTTAGCCCGTTCCCGTCTGTTGCTGGAATCTTCACTTTTCCTGCAAGGAGTTCAACTTAGCTGGCCTCGAGTGCGTTCATTTTCCCACTTGATCTTCTTCTTCCTCAGGATTATCCTGTACGCACTCTTGGTGGGTCGCCTCCCCTTTGAAGACAACACAACTGAGGGTCTTTACCGCCGCATCGTCAGCGGCAATTTCGGCTGCCCCAAAGACATCAGCCCGGAGGCCAGCAATCTGCTGAGAGGCATTCTCCACACGAACCCTCTCAAGAGGCTGGGGCCTCTCCAGATCAAGCAGCACCCTTGGTGAGCAGCTGCTGCTGCAGCTGCTGCTGCGTGCCCCATTCTAAGCATTAGTGCTGAGGCTCAAAGGGTCACTAGCTGCAGGGCGTCCTTTACGTCTTAACACAATGGACAAAATAAAGGGCTCCTGTGTTCCTCATTGTTGTTTGGCTTTTTGCACTAGCATGTGCACAGTTTGCATTTTCGCTGCTGAAAATATGAATAGATGCACTGGAGGACCCTGGAATGCTGCTGCTGCATTTCCAGTTCCACCCTGCATGAGAAGAATGCATAACGAGAGCAATTTGCCGCTTTTTGATGGAAGTACAGAACTAATGAGATCTCCTTTCTTCACTGACACTGCAGCAAAAGTGTTCACTTGCAGACTCGATGTGCATAGGCGTGCAGGCTGAGCGGCAGCAAAGGGTTCGTGCAAATCCCTCGCGGCCTCTTCACTTCTCGCTGGCCCTTCGGGCCCCCCGTTTGCTGCGTGGCCGATTGTCGGGCCTGCGCGGAGTGGCTGCGGCCTCCCTCAGTTCAGGTGGGTGTGGCCTGTTAGGGTTTACGGCCTGAAGCCCGGGGGCTGAGGCTCTATGGCTGAGGGTTTAGTGTTTAGGGTTTAGGGTTTGGGGCACCTGTACTGTGTGCACGCAGCTGAGGCGGGATATACTGGAGCTCATGCCGCGCTGTGGCTATTCATTGGAAGCCCTCGAGTGCCACATCCGCTGTCACCCTGTGGGGCCCCATGCTGCTACGTAGGCCTCTTGCCTTCCCTTTTTGTTTTCTGTCCTAGCGCAGACTCTTTCTTTAGCTATTCCTTGGCTGCTGCATCTCTGCTGCTGCAGCAGCGACTGTGGGTGCTGCAGCTTTCATCTGCTCTGCACAAAGAAACGGCGAGAAGAGGAGGCGGCGGCTGCGAGGCAGCAGCAAAGACAGGCGCTGCCTGACAGTCAGGGCGTGCCGCAGCTTGCATCCCCTTATCCTTCTCCAGAGCGCCTATCTGCTGCTGCAGCAACATCTGCTGCTGCGGCATCTGCTGCAGCAGCTGCCGCAGCATCTGCTGCAGCAGCAAGTGGCCCGGCAGCCACTGCTGCGGTGGCGCCTGCTGCTCCTCTACCTCAGCTGGCCCCAGCCTGCCCTCCACTTGAAGCAAAAGGAATGCGAAGAGGCCCGCTGAACTCGGGAGGGCTAATGGGGCCCGCAGTTGCTGCAGGGAAAAGGACCCTGAAGGGGCCTTGCAGGTCAGTGGAGTCTTTGCCTCTTTGTCTGCAGCCGGCACTGCAGCAGCAGCAGCAGCAGCAGCAGCAGCAGCAGCGACAGGTAATGGCGAGGCAGCTGAAGGCGATTGACCGCCGCTGCTCCCCGAAGCCGCGAGCTAAAGCCAAAAGTGGCGCAAAGCTTACGGGAAGCAGTGGGGGCAGTTCAGCTTTATCATCTCCCAAGGCGGAGGCAGCCCAAGCCCAGCAGCAGCAGCACCAGCAGCACCAGCAGCAGCACCAGCACCAGCACCAGCAGCAGCACCAGCAGCACCAGCAGCACCAGCAGCACCAGCAGCACCAGCAGCAGCAGCAGAAGCAGCAGCCCTCAACAAATGAAAGTGACCCACTTTCACCCCGCTTCGGAGGGAAGGTAGAGGCCTCGGCTATGACCCTTGCTCTGCCTTGTGAGCGCAGCAGCAGCAGCAGCACGGAGACTGCAGAAGAGAACTGCTGCAGCCCCGACACTCCACACCAGTGCCACCTACAGAGTGCTTCAAGAGAGCGTTTTGAAGCCCTGCAGCGGCAACAGCAGCAACAGCAGCAACAGCAGCAGCCGCAGCTGCTCCAGTCTGCGCAGCCGCTGCAGCAGCAGCCTTCCTGCGGTGGAACACTGCAAGCAGCACAGCTGGTGCTGCAGCAAATCGTGCTGCGGCAGCACCAACAGCTGCGGAACGAGCAGCTGCAGCACGACCTTGAAAAAAGGGGAGGCCAAAGGACTGAAGACAGAAGCCTCAGAGGGCCCCTGACAGCACGAGAAGTTCAGCATTCCAGCCACCGATTTGCTGCTGCTGCAGGACCCCCCAAGACTCCGCGGCGAATGCTGCAGTCTCTCTTGTCTCCCCGCTGCTCGCTCACCCCAGTTACACTGCAGCAGGGGCGGGGGGTTCGTCCGCAGCAGGAGGTGGCGGTCTTTGCTGCTGCTGCCACAGCAGCGCGAGCAGCAAAAAGAGGGCTTGCCTCTGCTGCCGCTGCTGCAGCTGTAGCAGGACAAGCTGCCGCGAGCGCTTCTAAGGGCCCTGCAGCAAACGAAACTATGCGCGGGCAGCTGGGCCCCTCAGCAGCAGCTTGCAGAACAACAGCCCCAGGCCCTCCAGCGTCTGCTGCAGTGCAGCCAGAGGCCAGCGATGCTGTTTTGCTGCTGCAGTCGAAATGCGGCAAAAGCAGCAACCTCACGCTCAATCGAACAATATCTGCTACTTGCAATTTTGCAAAGGCCTCTGGCAGCAGCAGCAGCAGCAGCAGCAACACCAGGCGAGTGCAGCGCCTTGCAGTCCAAGCCAGGAGCAAAGAGCTCGAAACGCTTACCTCTGCCACTCCCAGGGGCCCTCCGGCTCCCTGGAAAGCTGCAGCAAATGCCACAGGAAACAGGAGCAGCAGCTGCATCAGGGGAAGCAGCAGCAGCAGCAGCACGGCTCGGCCTGCACCCTCGACTTCTGGGGGCCTCATTGTTCCCAACAGGCTTGTAAAGCCCTTGAGCGCCTGCGGCGATGTTCGTCAGCAGCAGCAGAAAACGCCGGAACAGCTGCAGCGCCATTTGCAGTGTTCCTCAAAGCTCAGCAGTGGACAGGGCCGCCGCTTAGTGCAAAGCCAGCAGCAGCAGCAGCAGCAGCAGCAGAAGCAACAGGCAGCAGCGGCCCCTGAACAAGTCCAAGCAATGACTCAGAACCCCCAGCTGCTGCGGCAGCAAGCGGAACCCACTGGGACCCCAGCTAAGACCTCAGCTGGAAATGGCCTACAGAAGGTCCTCCCACTGCCTCTGGGCGCCTGTAGGGGCTCGCTGCAAGCCGGTGGGGCTGCAGCAGCAGACACAGCAGCAGCAGCAGCAACAGCAAGGGGAGGCTCATACACTCACCGCAACCTGGCGCTGCGCCGCAACCCTGTGGCGCCCCCAAAGTGTACAGTTCGGAAATCAACGGCTGAAGAACTCCCAGCCAGAGCCTGCATGACTGCTCGGATGTCGCTGGGCCGCAGTCTCACTGCAGCAGCTGCTGCAACAAAGGCAGCAGCAGCTGCTGGCCACGAAGACAAAGGAGCGGGGGTCCCCAGGGCGCTATCCACAAGACTCCGAGAGGGAACTCTCCCCACAAGAGCTCGGTTCCCTTCTCTGAGATCTTTCGCAGCAGCAAAAGCCAAGTCCGCAGCTTCTGCGGCAGGGGCTTCTCAGGTGGCGTTCTCAGCGCAGAAGCAGCAGCAGCCTGCATGCAATGCTGCTGAGACAGAGCAGCCGAATGTACCAGCTGCAGCCTCCACTCGCACAGCCCTGCGTCTGGGCAGGCCCGGGGCCGCAACAGCAACTGCTGCTGCAGCACCAGCAGCAAATTTTTCTCGTGCTGTGCAAAAGCCCCGACGGCGATCAGAAACAACCGACAGTTTACGGAGAAGCAACATAAAAGCGGCTGGGCTGGACCAGAAACCTCCGCTGGGAGTCGCAGCAGCAGAGAACCGTGCGCAGCTCAGACTGGCTCTTGGAGGAGCAGCTACAGTTCCGAGCACAAAACTGCAGCGCCTCACCAGCAGCAGCGGTTACACTGCAGCAGCAGCAGCAAAACAAATTGCAGCTGCTAAAGCTCTCTCCCATGCTTCATCTGCGGGCGTAACAGGGTCCATGCTAGCTGCAAATAGGAGATCCCTGGACAAGCAGGTGGACGCTAGAGCTAGCAGCAAATCAAGCAGCAGTTACTGCAGCAGCTACGGAGTATCAAGTGCTGCTGGCGCTGAGCCAACTGTGTCACTGAATCCTGCTGGGTTCCCAGAAAAGCCGCAGCAGCAGCACGCCGAGAGGAAGGTGCAGCACAAGCGGGGGGGCCCTCTGGCCCGCCATAGAGTAGCTGGGAGAAATTCAAAGTGCTCCAGCCGGCCATTGGGGGCCCTTGCTTCTCGGGCGGCTGTTGCAGTGGCCAGCTCTGCGGCCAACACCCGCAACCGCAGCTTCTCGCAAGGGACTTAGCTGATTTGCGGCCGAAAGCCGGGCCAATGCATGCGCTAAGTGTTTAATCTCAGTCTCACGCGTGCGTCAGTGCATGCAAGGCCACACATGTGAGCCGTGATAGAAACGATTTGAAGTAGAAACACCGCTCTCTGTGGGGTAAGCCAGTGGCCACGTGGCACAGCGCCTTTAAGGGTGTGGCTATCTCCAAAATAATTGAAGGGCTTTCGCTAGATTAAATAGTTGATCGCTGTTTCATATCCGAGCAGAGGTAACGCTAGCTTCAAACACGGAGCAGCCACCAGCATAGTTGTTTTACACTCCCCTGATAGGCCTTTGCAGCCAAGACTGCCGATTAAGAAATTATGAGCTGGCCAAACTATAGCAGCTTTGTGCGATTGCTGGCTACGTACCACTTACCAAAGCAGCGGAAAATAGGTTGCAAGTGCGCTCCTGAAATGAGTACCATTTTTCAGAGCAGCGGGTAACAGGTGACGGTTCCACATTACTTTTGTTTCGAACAAACGAGCTCCATCTAGGCATATGAATCTTTAGCACAAATATTTAAAAGTGAGCTTTTAACTGCAATAGAGAGGCAGGTGCGCCTGGGACAAATGCCAGAGCACAACTACTGATGGCGGCTCTGCTTCACCTGAGAGCCTCCATAAACTATTTGTGAGCCTGTTACTTCAGTTTGCCCTAAACGTATGTGCTATGCGCTGTGCTGCCTTTTCTATGCGGGAAAGCTGTTAGCAGTCTGAATAAAACGCATGTCATGGACGCCTGCGAAGTAGAATTAAGAAAAAGTGTTTATTGCGTGTCGTTCCAAATTGTAACAGCGATCTGCTGTGGACAGATCCTAGCATCTTCGCACTTAAAATATTACTAAAACGCCTTGGCGAGCAACTGACCGACGCGTATATTCACGCGACTTCTGATGTCATTCAGTTGCGTTTCGAGGGCGAAGCTCATTCCTCAACCCGTCTTCTGCGTCCCTATTAAAATATATTTGCCATTATTTCCCACTTGCGTTTACTACTTAATTCCAAAGCAGTAGCTGTGACGCAGCTGCTTCTGTTGGTCTTGACAGAGTGGAAAAGCTGTGACAAACAGCTTTGCTCCTTCTGCTGTCGTCTTGATGCAGCGGCGCTCGCGACTCAGGTGTGTGTTGCCAGCGCCCGACACATGACGATGATGAAGACTGATGGCTGTTTCAAAGTTGAATGAAACTTGAGCCGACTTATTGAATTTGTGGCTGACACCACTTGCTCATGGCCGTGCCTCCCTTGATCTCGACAAGGCTGGCGGGCTGCTTACGGATCTGGCTCCAACTGGCACGGGAGTGTAGCGCAGCAATTGGCATGCAAGTATTGTTGCTTGATCTAAGTCATCGCTGAAGTCCGATAGCCTTGAAGGGCTGCCGTCGTAAACAGAATATGTGAAAGATGGGTCGCCGTGGCAAACGGCCTCTGTGCTGTTCCTACCTGAAGGACCGTAGCGGCTGCGAAGTGACCGCCCACGACGACTGTCTTCCGTTCCGCATGAAGCCTCTCTGCTGTCGAAGCTGCGGACAGTTTCATGGCTTTCATTTATTATTCCTGTGTTTTCCATCTGAGTAATCCACAGCTGCAACTGGCTGCCGGCTGCAGGCGCAGGCACCTCCATCTCCCCTTCTGGCAACAGAAACTGCTGAAGCTGACTCGAGTGGATATCTGCAGAGGCTTGAAGAGAAGCAAAAGCAGCAGCAGATTCTTCGATGCGTATACGGGGAGTCTGTTGTTCTGGCGGAGAGGCGGGGGAAACTGGAGTAGGAAGGGGTGGAGGCGGCACGGTTGCAGGTTCACCCCAAAGAGTGGCAACGGTGTTCAGGCTAAGGGGGAATACAGAAGCTCCGTATTCAACTAGCTCAAGCCTTCTGTGTTCTGTGAAGATAATGCGCAGCTGCTTTCTTTGCTCCTTTTCCTTTGCTGCAACCGCATCACAAATTAAGGCCTTGCGTGCTTTGCCTTCTGCTGCTTCAGCGCTTTCTTCGTTTTCATCTTGCCCGTTTTCAGTCTGCTCAGGCTCTGCAGCCTCTCTTTCAACAAACTGAACCAGCTCATCATCCAGCTGTTCGTATTCTTTGGTTAGCTCGAGTGTACGCACGTGCACGTCTGCGGCAATTCTGATCACAGTGTCTAAAGAGTCCTGTGCTTCCCGCAGATCTTCCTCCATTTCATCAACCAGCGACTGCATTATAGGCATTGTCTGAGTGTAGTTTCGCGGCTGTGCAGCGAGACGGTTTCTCAGATAGGCCACGTAGCCTTCGTAATCATCTTTCTCTTCCACAAAGATGCATCGGAACATTTCCATGCGTTCAGTGTCAATGCAAGAGCAGATGCGCAGTCGACTCAGCAGTTCAGAGGCTTTCAAGCTGCTGAATATGGTTGGCTCCCACTGAGAGGCGTTGGAAAGCACCTTCTTTCCCGTAGGATAGTACGTGATGCCCATGGCTGCTGAGGCAGCACGAGCGGCCTCCAACTCCTCTTCATCGCCGCCCACTACTGTGTTCGCCTCGGACTGAACACGTGATGGTACACGTGTTGTCATTGTGTCCAGCTCGTCACTGGATCTGGTTGAAACATCACTGATGCTTAGAGCCGCCATCTCGGTAACTTCTGGAGAGTCTAGCGGCAAATTCCCTTCTCAGATACTGATGAACGCAAAAAATATTATTGGCCCCCTTTTAAAGGATGTGCACGGGAAGCTGGACAACGGGTGGCAGTGAAAGCGGTTATCACGCAGCGAATCTGCTGTCGGTTGCAGAGCACACTCGACGCTCTTGTGGAGTGCTCATGCCAAGTTGGGCTTCGAGGCCTTGCAAATCTTGAAGAAGATGCAAAGATTGAAAACTGTCAATTGAGTATGTTGACGAGCCTGAAAGAGCTGGAGGGTCTTCAATATGCCTTGCTGAGGCCGACGGTGCCTCAAGGTGACAGCTTGCTGATGCTCGATGTCTCTCGTTGTTCGTGTTCTTTTGGAGGGAGCTTGTAAGCAAAAACAAACAATTACTTCTCATCACATATAAGTGCTCAAATAAATATGCTTATAGAAAAGAATGACTGTTTCAGTGTGCATCGTGCGGTTGAGCCGGTTGTGCTGCCACTGTGTACCCGCAAGCGGCGTCGAGTCCTTGTGGGTGACCGCTTGCGTTGCTTGGCACCACATGACCGCAAGAGCGGAAACAGCCAGACCCTGTCCCCAAACCTTTAGTTCTGAAAAAAGAAACGGTTTCGAATTATTTGTTACTTGCACAAACTAATTCGTGGTTTAGTTAGCGGGCTCTACTGCAGTGACCGGCGGCGCCCGGCAATGCAAAGATAGCCTAGTTCCCGTTCGGTTGGCGTGCTCAAATGAGCCGGCCAGGAGAATGCTATCAAAAGCGTCAGAGATAGTGGAAATAGGTCATGAAAACATTCTGTATAGATCAGTTAAGTGCTCAACATAGGTGCACGATGGTCATCTCGTCCAGAGGTTCCTGTCTGGCGGGCCTGTTGAAGCCAGCGCCGACGACAAAGCCAGCGGCTGTGTATAATTGGAAGCCTCTGCAAACAACCTCCTCTTTGCCTTTCGAATCCCTTAAACTTCTTGAGAGAATGGAACGAAGGGAAAAGATTATATCCTGACTGGGCAATAATGCCCAAGCGATCATTGACTAAGGCTCCACAGGACAAACGGTGCTCGACTCTGGTAGCTGCAGTGCTTAACAGTAAGCTTCGGCGTTCCCATTAAGTGTCATAATTCGGCAGCTGTAATATGCCTCGCGAATGCTGCTGGCCCCTCAGGATCTGAGTAGTCCTGACTCGTTTCGGGACTTCTTCCATGGTCGACTTGAAGTAGAGGGGTTCCAGTTGCAAATTCAGTGATATCCCACGTAATATGTCTGCAATTTTTATAATTTTTAAGAATAGCGGAGTTTTTAAGTTGGCTTCTTAGCGGTGTGAACAGTTCAATAGCGTACACGAAACAATCAGGTATCCGTTCCAACCACCTACACTCGCTTTACCCGTTTGGAATGGTGCTCCGTTATGTCCCACCATCTCCATTGAACTTTATGCTGTGTCTTGGGTGTTATCATTGCTGTTCCGCTATTCTATCCAGTTTGCTGTGCAGCCATTGCATCGAATGTTGATGGCAGCAGCTGTTGCAAATATCCGCTACTTCCATACAAGAATGACAGGCTCAGTGAATTGGTCCTTCTACTGGAGACAAAGCATCATTTCAAGCAATATTAATCTTTTGTCCACCCCAGATGCACTAGAGCTGCGCAGGACTCAGTATGATCCCATGAGCTGTGCACAGAGGATCATATGCAGCTGTTTGTAATCCCAATATCAAATAGACAGCGAGAGTGCCGAACTTGTGTTCCGGCCTCAGATACTTAAAATTTTAAAGCTTTCCATCTCGGGCAGCAGAGTTTGAGGGGCGGACTGCACAATTAGCAGGCCAACGTCCCATGTCGTACAGGCACGAAGCATTTCGTGAATGATCACTGGCCATCCCGAAAGAAGAAAATAGGCGCCCCTAGTAGGCAGTCAAAAAAGTCTTTGGCTTATGAGATTAGATGGGAAGAATGGCCTAGAGACACCGCTCGAATTGTGCAGTTTTGGTGGCGGTATTGCATGAAGTTAGAGGGTGATTAGTAAGGAGCTGTGGGCAGGCCAAAGCTACTGCAAGAGCCAGTGGACATGTCAGAGCTTTTAAGCCAGTACAAATAATTTAAGGTGAAGAGCTCAGTTGCACTTATGCCAAACCAAGGCAGAATTTTCGGCCTGAGCAGAATTAAAACGATGAGGCCTTCGGCATATTTCGAAGGAGTCGAGGATTGGCTCCAGGCTGCAGCTGCAGCTGCAGCTGCTGCCTGAGATCCTTTGGGGCCGCAGCAGCTAAAAAAGCATTCCTTTTAAGAGTCTGAAGACGCAGCTTGTGAAGAATTCCAGAAACAGCAGAAGTAACTTTCAACTTTGGAGAAAGCATTGCAGGTGGCACTGCAAGGAGGCAGGAGCTGCAGCGTGTGGGGTTTTAGTTTGCAATATGTGAAGCCCCGGGAGCAAGTCATTGGCCTCAGCAGCCGCCGCGCGTGCTTTGTGCAGTGCTAAGCCTTTCTTCGCTGGCTGATGCAGCAAGTTGAAGTGTTGTTTCTTTTCTGCTGCTGCTGCACTCCCGTCAAGGTGACTGGGGGATATCAGCAGCTGCTCCTCCACAGCAACCAAACCACCCGAAGAGATCTTTTGCTCATCACTAGTCTTGGGCAGCAGCGCTTCTACGGGCCTCAGAGGCGGCTGTATTGGCCCGAAAGTCCTGCCTGCATGCAGCCTCTTATGATCTCCATCAACAGCTGGATCCTGGGCAGGGTTTAGGGCTTCAATGGCTGCTGTTGGCCACACAGCATAGAAGGTGGCTGCCGCCATGCCCATGCTTGAGTTGGCTGCACCTGAAGTGTTTCGTGTTCTGGGCGTCGCTTGTGAATAAGTTATTCAGCACAAGCGTACCTGTAGCCCCTGGCTCGGCGAAGACATTCTTGGGCGCGTCATGTCTAAACCTGCTCAAGAAAAACAGGTCGGCCCCATCGAGCAAGTCCGATTTCATTTTTGCGTCATATGAGCGTTTTGACGCTCCGATAAAGACGTTTTTCAGTTAACCGTTTATAACGGGTAACTTCCGCAGCTCAAAGAGAGGCTGGAAATAACACGTCAGATCGTTATCGTTCACACGTTCTTGCAACAAGTTGCCGCGTCTTGATGTACTGGTTCAAGTGAGATCTCGTCTGGTGTATGCTGAGAAGAGACGAAACTGTGGGTCGAAAGGGGGCTGACGCAGGACAAGCCAAGGCCACTTTAAAAGGAGAGAAAGGTCTGGCATTAGAAAGCTGACCATCGGCAGCAAATTGACTCTTTTGGGTGGCAGTTGCCCTGCTGCCCGCGAGCATGTCTGAAAAGACTGAAGAAGGTAGAGGCAGCTGCTACGAAAGCAGATGAGAGAACCTAGAAGAAATTCAGAAAAGGGATGTTCGTAAGCAGTTTCGCGGCTACGGCTATTGAAATTCGCGTTGCAGCTTTTCCGGGATTCACGGCGTGGTGCAGCACTGTCGAAGCCGTACAGACACGAGCAATCCTGTGACAGAAGGCTAATCGTAGCAATAAATATCGTAAAGTAGAAGGAAACAGTTGCTTTGCAGACCCAAACAAACGGATTTTTCTCCAGTCATGATGTTTATCGTGCGGGATTTTCCATTTTCGCTAGATCTGTTTGCACGTATCGGTTGTCTAGGCCAACATGTAGTGAACATTGAAGAGAAGCAAATCAACTGCAATCATACATGAAGTTTTCAGCTTGCAAGGGCTTGGGCTCTGTAAATTTGTATATTTGGTGCTGGCCTCGATTTCGTCAGCGGTTGATTCAGCCTCACGAGCAGTCTCACTTGCTGTGAAACTTGAACTACCCCCAACCTTCTTGCGTCTGCCACATTCAGAAGCTGCTGTGTTCACCCACAGCCCACAACTCTTCACAGAATGTTGAACGAGTCCGTTTTCCTGTTGGTCCTTACATTTGGAGTTTCCACTCACGACACTGCTTTGAACACATCCAGTATGATATTATCAAGAATCCAAAGATTTTGCACCCAACAGAAGTGTGAAACCTGAATTCGTAAGTGCCGCGGACAAAACTAGGCTTCTGTATGTCCTATCGGAGGTAGAACCGTTGTGTGGGCCTCTGTTCATGTTTTGACTTTAGAGCACTCGCCGCATATGCTGCTCGAAGGCTTTGGTGCATCTTCCAGCATCAAAGAACATATGCTGAGCCTGCTAGTTTGCCAGTATTGTTGACGCTGTTGGAGGTTATCCGAAGTTGTTTCGGGAGGTTGGTCTTGTTGCGATGCCTCCAGAGAGTGGGAACCTGCAAAAATGCTTCGGCATCTTTCAAAGCTAGATGTTCCACTATGTGGGACCAAGAAGCCCTATCTAAATCTCTTTCCTTTAAGAGATGCTCCACTGCTTCAAACCCTAACGCCAAATGCATAGCAATAGACAAAAGAGGCCACTGTTGAAAAGGCTGTCCTCCTTATGTTGCGGCCTGTCAGTCTCACACTCATCGAATACTGCGCCCACAGTTTGGCCAGCACCTACAAATCTAATCATCACTAAATTGCTAAGGAGATACTTGCTGGCCACTTTCAGCTTGACACGGAATGCAACGGAGTCCATTTAACAAATTCAGGCTCTGTGCGTTGAACTCAAAGAGCCGTTTATGAAATTCTGTTGATGCAATGAAACAGTGTAGGGCCTAGACTGTTTGCCAGACAGCTAGCAGCAGAAAGCTAGATGGCCCTTCACCAAGTTGTTTTTGCCAACTCTGTACTTAGGGCGTAGTTGGGCTACGCTGCGGGTGCAGCAACTGCTTTGCAATGTTGTGTATCCTGTCGTGTAATGCCTGTCTTTGCTGCAGCCGTAAAAGAGAGGCTTGTAGCCGTTCTGCAACTTCTCCACGAAGTGTAGGCTTCTGACCGCCGCCTTGGGCACGCAAAGGCAAGGCGCATCCAGAAGATGAATCCTCTTTAGTTCGCAGCAGCTCGTGCTGCTGAAGTTTTGACTCTGGCAACGTGAAAGTAATGCGCTGGTGGCGCGCACTGCTTGCTCGTTCGCTAGAATGGTGCTGTCGATGATTTTCAATACGCTGAGGCGCAGCGCTGCTGCTGCTCGTACTCGTGCTGATCGATCCACGAGAAGCAGAGCGGCAATGTCGAGAACTCTCTCGCCGCATTCTGCGCCTCCGGCTGCGCCTCCTTTCACGTTTCCTGCTGCTGCTCATGCTGCCGTTGCTGCTGGTGGACTCATCCGTACGAAATGAACTGCTGCCAGCAGAATCGTTGCGGTGTTTACGCGTATGCGTCCTGAAGGACGCTTGATAATGCTTAGGGTTGGAAGGTGCCGCTGCAGCGCCATGAGCTGGTGAGTCCGCTTCTGGGGGCTCACGACGCCCTGCAGACTGCACTTGCTGCTGGCCTGAGCCGCCCTCGTGACTAGTGCTTTCTGCCGCGTGTGCATGCCTCTCGCTGCAGCAAGAACAAGGTGGTGCAGTTGGAGGGGGAGCAGGAGGTAGCCTAACCTGGACATCGACCATTGCTTGGCGCCCAACAGGTTGAGTCGTGGAGTCCTTCGGGTTGCTAATCTTCTCAGATCGTCTTGTGCATACCCGACAGCCCGCACGTGGAGCCGCGTCCGCTGAAGTTGCAGGTACCGCCACTGCCGTGAGAGTCGCTGTTTCTGTGGAGTGCAGGTGCGCTGCGGGGCATCCAGGCACTCGCTGACATCCAGCAGCTTGCCGCGTTCGTCTTACAGTGGATGTGCCTGCTTTGCCTAGTTGCGGGTTCGTGCTGGCCGATCGCAGCCGAAGCTGCTGTGCGAGCACCTCAGCCCTGAGCTGCCTGTTTTCCTGTTGCAGTGCCTCGAGCTGCGCCTCTAGGTCAACGCCTGAGTTCCTCAAAACACAACGCGAACACAGCTCTCATATACCTCACTAAAGCCACGTATACAGCATTTCAGAACAACGCCATCTATGGCTTCTGAGGGTTTTCTAGTCGTCACAACAGCAAGTGTGTTTGGGACAAATTTCAACAGCGGGAAAGAAAAAGTTCTGCACGCACAACGACGACGTTCAGCATTAAGAGCTTGTGCTGCTTCTAAATGTTTCCGCTGTTGCTGTTCACGGTACTGCCTTCGAGACTGCTCCAATATGCTCTTCTGCATACAAACGGCCATAGGACAGTCACTCTGACACCTAATAGGCAACACACACACAGCCACCGTTACCGTGACTCCTGATAAAGCACTTTCGGACAGAAAAGAGGCAAGAAGAGCGACCCGCCAAGCCGCAGAAGAAGCCCTCGAGAGCTGTGTTTTACCTCTTGCCGCAGAGATCTCCTGGCTTCCATAGCCCTTCGAAGAATGGCTGCGGCTTCCTCCGCAACTACTTCAGCTCGTCTACGTTGCTGCGTTGCGACCCTGAAATCCACCACGCCATTCGTCTACTTTTTTACCTTGTTACTCCTTTTCTAGAAAGATAAGCCTTTGTGCCGTTGCGTGAGTCTCCACTAACAAGATGTTAATTGACCACTAGCACAGCAGTGGAGGAAAAGAAAGATGGGTAATGCTAGCTTGCAAGCTGTGTGGGCTGTGAGAAATGTGGTTATCATCCACAGTTCCTTGATCTTGCCTCGGTGAGAATACCTGCAAACCGCAGTTGCACAGCCACGAACCTTTCGAGCTTTTCTGCAGCCTGGTTCAACAGCTGCTGGGCATGCTGACGCAGCGCGGTGCTTGCCTGAGCAACAGCAACCGAGATCCCTTCCTCCTAAACACAAAAATAACACGAACACACACAGTAATTGTATCCTGTGATGTACCGCAAGACTGAAGTGCAAGCGAAAATCAGACAGCACGGACCGGCGCCTCCTCAGACATGCTGGCGCATACTTGAATACGCAAGCACGGAATGTCAGTAACTTTAATTCATGTCAGTTGCGTCTGAAACAAACCTGTTGCTTCAATCGAACAGCTCTCGCCTGGATCATCCGATTTATCTGTTCGCACAAAAAAATGCAGAGCCACCCACCACGTGGAAGAAGAAACACATTGTACGAACATGCCAGCCTCGGCTCCAACTGTCAAAGTGAAGAAAAGTGCAGGCATGTCAAAATGCTACGCACAAGGGAGTAGGAAGAGTCCCCCATTAGTGTATAGCTTTGGTTATCCTGCACTTTTCGCTCAATCGTCCCTAAGCCAGGCCCAGCTGCCAGGCATTACTTGCCCACCTCCTGCAGCTCTTGCGCCACGAATCGGTGTGCATCTGCATCCCCCATGCGGCTGCGTGCAAGGTGCCCTTCAACAGCCTTGAAACTACTTGCGATTTCACCAGGCTTGCCGCTTGGCAGGGGAGGGGAGCATGCACTGTAGTATTGCGGGGGACTCGCCGCTGCATCCTCTTGCTGCACAACCAGTGGCTGGCTCGTGTCTTTAGGAGGGTCAGCTTTGAATACAGTGCTCTGAGCAGGAGCTGCAAGAGAGGAACTGCAGAGCGGGGCAACGTTCAGCCTTCCACCCGCTGGCCGGCTATAAGGGGGCAGAGGCTCTACAGCTGGCGGATCAGCCGCTGCGTGCAACCTTTCTGCATGCGAAGAAGAAGGGGCGCTGCTTCCCGCATGAGTCTGCAGCGTGATATGCGGCCGAGCCAATTCTATGGAGGCAAAAAGAGAAATGTGGCGGTGGCGAAGTGTGGGCTGATGCAGGCCACACTTCTGGCTTGCTGTTCTGCCATGCTCAGCCACTTCAGCAGGACCCGTACACTGCTCATCGAAAGACAAACTTTCGGGATAATCAGGAAACAGACGCGCATCTGGAGCCAGAGGCGGTGTCATTGCATGCTGCGTAGAGGGGCTTTCGCTGCTGACGGGTCCGAAGAGAAGGGCATCTCGATCATCCCCTCCATGCATTTTTCTGCAGAATAAGCGCTGCTGCAGCAGCCAAATGCGCAGCTCCTCGCCGCCAGTTGCTGCCAGCTCGTGTTCTGATTGGGTTGGACACTGGATCCTCGTGGAGGACACCCGGAGCCGATTGCACGGCAGACAGTGCAGGCAGCTCTTGCCAAGGGCCGCGAAAAACCAAGCTTCAGCAGATGTCTCCTGAGATTCGCCTCACAAATGTACGGGCCCACTTGTCTGCACAATCGGTGTGGCGCTACTACGGCCAGCCCGGCCCGCCATGGTAGGCGTGGTCTTGCGCAGAATATATTCGTGTCTTTGCAGCGGAAGAAAACAAAGAACGATGAACTGCGTCTACTGCTTAACAGAAATGAGCTGCTTTCTCGAGTCTGGGCAGGCAAATGATGAAAAATCATGAAGAGGATTCTCACCGAGGCATGCGCAAGCTGAGTTGGGGTCACTGCCGACAGACTAGTTACGGACACACCAATACACCACAACGAAAAAATTGTAAAGCTGACGAAAAGAGACAATTTAGGCCATCAAGTAGTCAAGTTCTTGCACTCAGCATGCAGATGGAGCCACGGCGCTGCCGACTGCAGCCAATTTCCCGCACTCCTGCCCGCCGACAACAAAAAAAGTGGAGCCTAACCCATTTTAAATAGAGACAAAGATACAAGAAGTTGGTTTGAAACTGCAGGCAACTGAGGGGTGCCAGTGAAATTTCGGATTCCCAAGTTTCACCATAATTCTGCTTTGCAAAACCACAGTTTCTGAAATCGCAGCTGGGCTCGGAGCAGCGCCTCCGTTTTATGCAATTAGGCGCATTCACGGACTTACGAATGTGCAAAATGAGAAAACAACTTCGTGGCCACGGCCACAGGCTAATCGGGTCCTGTAGACTGCAAAAACTGCACGTTTCAATGTCTAAAATCTACGGGCAAACGTCGAGATGAGGATTTTTATTGTTCTCTTTGCCAGCTCGCTGGCTCAAAGCAAGGGAATCAAAGGTTCCTACAGAGATACCATATCGCAATTTTATAGATCCAAGAGGTGCTTGAACTTCTCTTCCCCAAATAGTTAGGAAGCCCTCCTAACAGACCAGAGTCATCAGGAAAAAGACAGCGCAAGAGTAACAAGCTGCTGAAAAGCCTTCACGCGATCTCTGTGCATACGTAGTGTCCCAGATAAGCGGTAATACGGAATATTCCAAGACGGACAGTTCCATCTAGCCCAAAAAACCAGGCAAGTGTACAGGCAGTTCACCAGTGCCTGCATACCGCTGCCTGGGTACAGGAAACATTTATTGGCGATTTTGTGCCTTTTTCTAGTCTTTAAATGATTTCTATCGGCTATGGTTTATGATTTTGGTGAGGGCCAAGAAGTCTGGCGACTATTACGCTCACCCTGTAGCAGCACATTCCACAGCTCTTCACTTGCTGAACTACTCGGAAGCCGACATGCGACCGATAAGCCGGCGCCGTGTGGGGAACTGAGCCACATACGAGACAGGCAGCTCCTACCCAGGTTTTTGTACGGATCCCCTGAATTTTATATCCATTTGCTGCACGTCGGCTAGATGCCCCCACCTTCGTAACCCGCGTGCGAGCGAAGACTGAGCCACCCCTTGGTAGCATCTCATCTGGCCACACCTTGTAGCATTGTTCAGGCCACGAAGAGCATAGCCCATATGCAAATGCCTGCATCAGCAGCAAAGGCACTCAAGTCTGCGACCGTGGCGCTTTGCTGGGCTTGCGTGGTTCCCGATTTTCTTGACCAGTGCGGAAGCCAGCTGGCAACCGCAGGTGACTTCACAGGAATCGATTCTTCACAAAGCGACGAGCTTGCCGATTTGTCCGGTGCAACGGAAAAGATCGAATATGAGGGATCGTTTTCGCTTCCCGCAGAGGGGGCAGACCCGTTTTCTCGCGTTTCTATCCTCCGAGCAAATGCAATATCATTAAAGGATTCCCACATCAGCAGCGAGATGTTACAGAGCTTAGGAGAGCTGGTTCAGGCGTTGATTCAAGAAGAGGCGCAAAATATACAGCACCAAAGCGACCTATGGCTTATTTCAGAAACGAAAAAAGCCGTGGATTTGCTGCACAACAATCCTTCATTGTTCCCAGCAACTGGCTATTCTTTGCACGAGGGCCCCAACGGAGTGCTTTTTGTGAAGGTAAGCGAAATGGGGATGGAGTGGCACTTCAGTTCTGATCAACTTTTGCAGACGGATGTTCCCTACTGGATGGTGGATGCAGAAGCTGCACTGAGGGTCATTGTGCAGGACGTCATGAGTGATGTGATGCAAATGACCCTTCCCGTGGTCTCCGAACCTCCGTCGGAAGAAAAAGAAACAGATTTTCCAATTGAATTTGGCTACGACTCGACGGATCGCCGGAGCATCAAGTTCGCGTTCGGCGATTCAACAGTGACTGTCACTTGCGGCAAGACTCTGCAGCTGGGCGGCGCCGTCGGCGTTTCCCACGGCGACTACACGGTGAAGGTGGGTTAATAAACTGTTGCGGCTGAGGAACTTCCGCTTGAAACGACTTGCAGGTTGAAAGCGGAAACAACAGCACTGAAGGCACAATCAACGCAGGGCCCGTCGCCGTGCACACCAGCGTGGCTCCGGACAACGTGCAGCACGATGTCAGTGTGGGAACGATGCAGGTGATGCAGGCAAGAATTAATCCGTCAGCAGGTCCCGGGTCGATCGTTGCGTCTTACCAAGATGCGCGAATCAAATTCGACACAAACCCTGAAGGGAAACGCCACGGTGCGGAAGTTGGCAACAAAGACTTCCTTATCGGGGTTACTCGTGACTTTGACGACAGGATCAACATATTCAAGCGTACGTTTAACTGTAGTTACTGCCTTCTCTTTCCTCTGCCTCTGCAGTTACGAAATGCATATATGCTTTAGACGAAGCGGGACAATACTCCATGCAGCTTGAGACCGACCTCGCTGATGATAAAAACCATGCATATTCGGGAAAGCTAACAGCCAGAACGCCACAAACAGGAAAGGTGGTGTTTGGTGGAGGCTTCGACGATACCAACTTTTTAACAACAGATCTTGCACTCGAAGCAAGAGACATGAGCATCGCCTTCAACGGTAAACGAGGCGAACCAGGGTATCACGTGCGCATCGGCCCTTTTGTTTTTGACGTTGTAATAAACAATGAACTGCCCGAGTTTATTCTTCGAGAAGTCAACCCCTAAGCCATGATAAGACCTCATCTTTTGAATTTTAAGTCATTTCGTTTCAAAGCGATGTCTTCGGCCACCTTCTCCGTGTGATTCACCGGTGAAACTTTAGCAAACAGCCTGTTAGCAAAAGGAAGAGACACGGGCTCGACTTCGATACTCGCAAATTAATGAGTATCACCACGCGTGCTGTGCATGTTGTGCCCCTTCAGCATGATCAGCAGCACTATACGAGCTGTGTCCCCCCAAGAATGTCCAATGTTCGGTATTTTAAAAGTTATGCAAATGGCTGTAAGCGATACACCCAACAAGGCTCAGCTGATGAGCATTTTCTGTTTTACTGCACTACGCTGCTTTGCCCAACTAGTAGCAAGCGCAGCCTTCTTTTAGCGCCTAGCTTGGTGCCTGACATCCACAAAAGAGCCATTCAATTCGTGACTCAAGTCGCCAAACGTTAGAGCGGTTCTCTTCAAAAAAAAAAACAATTGATGCAGTACGGCCTCCCTTAGTTTCGCTCGTAGCTGAAAGAGTGCTACTTTCGGATGCAACTGCACTGGAATATCAACACCACTAAACATTGCACCGCTGAGGAAAACGCTACAAGAAGCTCGTGAGTATCTCGTTGTGGGCTTCTTCTCCCTTTTAACGGTGTGCTGGTTGACGAGGGGCGAAGCTGCAGCGGCGATTACAGACAAATGCTGCTGCTCATGCCCTCGCCGTTGAGGACACTTGCCGCCTCTCACTTGCCGCCTGCCGTTCATTCCCTGGCTGTTCACTTATCCCTGGACGATTGCCCTTTTGCCTTAGAAAGTGGACTTATGGCATTAAGAGCAAATCGCGTATCGCAAGTACCGCGACGTGCTGCTGCTTCGCACTCCCATGGAAGAGCGTGCTGCGACTCCAAATGCAGCCCGTCAGCCAGGCCTATGAACAGGCTGACCAGGATCGGGCTTAGGCCCCCCAGACATGTGGCCCCGAGCAAGGCGGCAACTCTGCGAGGACAAAGCGCATCACCTAACCTTTCTCGGGTGATTTTTTATTCAGACACAGCACTTACCTAACAGTACACAGAGGTGTAAAGTTGCTTCAAATCGTCATAAGGCAAACAGTGGCAACCCACCGGGTGACAGCAAGAGAAACACCGTAGCTCGCCATTGGGTGCATTCACCGCTTCTTGTGGCTGCAATTCATCCGCAGTTGACCACACATGCGGACCACGGAAGTGGTCTGCGGGCTGCAGCGGAGTTCTTTTGTGTTGCACGGCGCAGCATCATGCTGGAACGTCTAGGCAGTGCATGAATATGGCGCGCAAAATTATGCATTTTTTTTCAAGCAGGCAAACTGACAGAGGCTCCAGAATTCAGCAAAGACGAAATTTGTGCAACTTCCGAGTCCACAAGTGTTTAATCTACTTCCTTTAATCAGGCAAACTTACAGGAGGCTTCAGAAAGCAGTGAGGACAAACGTTGTGTAACTTTCGGGTCTGCATGTTTTCCACGTTAAGCACCTGTAAGAGTAAATAATGCGAAGCGGAGAACTCAACCCAAGGTTAACAGCGCATTAACATTCATAACTACTTGTTGTATAGAGTGCGTAACTGCTTACCTTGAACTGGCAATAAGGGCATATATGTTGAGTGAGAGAAAGAGAACCGCGCTTTGGTAGCCTCAGGATGAGACTACACGCTGAACGGTTTGTGCATGCCTGAAATATGGGAAAAAAAAGCCACAACTTGGTCTTTTGCATCAATTACACCTGGCAGACAGCTTCGAAAATGGGCAAGAAGCCGTTACGGGAACCTAGACGCTCATATTTATTTGCTGTGCCTTCTCATTCACGCTTGTTGGGTGCTACTTACAAGAAAGCGGTCCGTCCCTGGGTCTGCGAAAGGAATCAAATCACAAACCAACGGAATAAATAAGCAAACAAAACGCAACCTGATATACATACTTATGGAGCTGCATGGTGTTACTGGGTGCATACTCACCTCCGCTTGCATCTGCAGATCCGTGTCTCGCATTGCTCCTTCCGCGCCTGAAAGCATATACAAAGTTTCACGCAACATCTCACGCCAAACAAATTCGTCATTTGATCTTGCAATCCACAAAGACGGGAGATACTTGCTAATACAGCGCGACATGCGCGGTAACGGAAGCCCCACCTTGAGCTGTTGCCCTGTGCTCCGCCTCCGGTGTCCTGTGGCGGCAAATGAGTCAAATAAGTCAATTCAATCCTCAGCATCAAAAATAATTGGACTGAAGACTACACCATACAGGGTCAATTGCTGTCCAGTCAATCTGAGCTGGCATACGTGAGTAATAAACAACTGCGAAGCCGGAGTCCGGAGTCCGTCAGTAGTAAAGTCTCACCATAAGGTCCATTGAGCTACCACATTTTGCACAGACGCAAAAATTGCTTTGAAGAACGCGAGATTCAGCGTCTGAAGCAGCCGGTGGAGGGAAGATCCGCTGCAGCTGCTCATCTAGCAACGCTATATGCACGCGCAGAAGCCGAAACACCTCGGCCACTGTGCCCACATGCCTCTGAATAACATCTTCCTATAAATGCAAATCGCAGGCACAAGAAGCAAAAAGCTACGATAATCCTTCTAAGCGCATGAATGCAAAAGTTATTTATGCTGCACTACATGTAAAATGAAGCACAAAACAGGACGGCCTGCCTTCACCTCACCTTGCGTTCAACGCCCCTGGCAATTAGCGTCATATCTCGTTCCATGCTGGCCCTCAGGTCTGGCTGAAAAGACGTCCAACGAAACCACAGTGATGTGCTGTTTCTAAAGCCTCAACGAGGTACTTCCGAGGATAAAACACGCTCCCAGGTGCATTTTGTTGTAATTAATGTGCACATAAACGCGAATCGACAAAAAGCGCCTTACCCGTGAAAGGTCTGCGTTGCAGAGTCGACCAACGTGTTGATAACCCTGAAACAACACATAATGTGATGCTACTGGAAATGACAACGTGTGGCTTTAGTGCGTAACAGCACAAAGTGTGAGGCACGATGAATGCCGCAATTAGCCAGTATATAACGCTGTATTTAGCGCACCCTCGCGGAGCTTGACAGAGTAAAATAACGTACCAAAACCAAAGCAACACCAAGTTCTGTGGGTTTAAACTGCTGGGATTCAGTTTTTATTGCATAGTTGCGTTCCTGGAAAAGCACATAACGTAGAAACCGAGTGCAGTTTTGATTGCTGAGGTCCTCGAGCTCCTCAGTAGTGAGCAAAGCATTGCAAGTGAACCCAAGTATTCTGCGTGCCTCGGGTATACTGGCAAATAATCCTACCTGAATGGTGCGTATATGTTCGTGCATGGTCGCATCTGTACCGATGCCGTGCTGAGCAGAAGCACCTCCCCGCAGCAGACTAACACCACAATGGGCAAAATAAGCCGCACTGCATTGGAGTGATAAGCAGCGCAACCAGACGTGCCTCCTACCTTGTCCATCTTGTCGATGAGGTCAGCCTCTGTGAGGAGAGTTGGAGGCTGCGTACTTCCGGCCTGGAGAGACATTTCTTTTGGGACGAATCTTTCATGCAGCAGAAAGCGAGGCAGCCGGCGCGAGACCCTGTAGGGCAGTCACCGCTGATTGAAGCAATATCAAAGCAAAAAGAGCTACGGCGCTGTATTCGGTGTTGGAGAAGACCTTGGAAGCGACAGTATGTACGGGCGTAAGGCTCTTGGTGCTTTTTGGAATGTCCTTATGTAGAGGAAGAAAACTTACCACGAGTCGTAAGGGTAGACCTCAAGATAGTTCTTTTGCAGTACGATCAGCCCAGTTGTGGAAAACGTCTCCCCTGCGTGTAAGCAAACCTACACAAATTGTTGCACTCCTACATATGGCTTGTTTCACATATCTTGTACTGTGACAAGTGCTACAGAACTAATGTAACGCTATTGGAAAAGAATCTGTGAATACGAATTGCGGCCAGCTGACCTGCAATGTCCATCTCTATCTTCGTCTCGAAGCCAATGGCGTCCGAACTGCACACGATGTCCATACAACGAAGCACAAATTAACCCAAAGTTAACGTAGTGCTTCCCTTCTTACTAATTATGATGCAACAACAACATCATACAAGACAGGGACGATAGTTAAACTGTTTGCCACAGAACAAATGCACTTAAATCTTGATTACCTGCAGCAAGCAAGGAAGTGACGGGTAACTGCCTCGTAGAGCTGAGTACAATCACGCATTTAGGTGCTTTGTAAAGTTGAAATCCTCAAAGTCGGGTTTCAATGCAGTGGGAATCGTGTAGCCGCAGGATCCTAACCTTCCACTCATCCTCGTTTTCGCAATCTTCTCTGAGCAGATAAAAACACTAGCAAAACACTGCCCGGTATTGTGTTATGAATTTATAACAAGACGCTGCACAAATGTACTTTAAAGTATGCCTTTTATTGCATACCATGAGAAATGCGCAGACCGTATCCTGCCTCACCTGCACAGTTCCTTTACTGGGTGTATCGGTGGATGGGACTGCAAATAAACTCAGTACAGCAAGCCCAAAAACAAAAATAAGAGCGCTACACACTAAGTCATTCAAAGATTGGAGTTTTTTCACCTTCACTTGGATCGCATGAAACATTGTCTCTGGAATTATCGGCATGATTTGGCAGGCTACAAGAGGTGGAGTCTAAACCCACTGCCTCTTAGGTGCAAAGCTAACGAATAGCTGTACATGTAATACCATGCTCAGCTGCGTATTATTTTCAATACACAGATTTTGCTGTTGTAGTGCAGCGAAGCAGCACTCACGGCATCGTCGTTGGGTCCATCGCGTGGCCATTCAAAACCACCTGACAGACACCCACTGCACGGCAATGCTGTACCGACTATCCGCGCAGTTGGCAATAGATGTTTGATGCCGCAGTACGCCGTAAAGAAGTGCCTTTATGGAAGGCAAACGTCAATTTTACGCACCGTCTAGCAGGGCTGCTGCAAACGAGCCCCACAGTGGGCTGTTGCGCTGCTGCTCGATCAGGCCCAAAAGGTCATGAGAACGCGTGAAGCGCTCTGTCTCTGTTCGAGGATAGCTGAGCATTGACACAGAGCAGGCGAATATTTAGAAATTACCTTGAGATGAAACTAGTTTGGAGTCTCAGATAGCTGCATTCCAAAGAAGTAGTAATACCTAATATATCCGCGGTTGTAGAGGGCCTCCGCTAGCTGCATGGACCTGAGTACGTGTATTGCAGTAAGACAAACAGTTTGATGACGCCTTGGCAGGAAGACTTTTAGGCAGCTGCGTTTTCTTCGAGCAATCAGAGCCCCGGCGTTCCTACAACGCACCGATGCGAGTCAATTCGGAGCTTGCGCGAGCAAAGCTTGGTCATTTCAACTGTATCTGAGACAGGCGCCGTCGCGAAAAACAGATTATTCTAGCAATGGTGCAAAAGCTTCGTTCATTCTGAACACGCTGACAATGAAGCCCCCCGCAGCGAGTAAACGTGACGCAGCTGCTTTCAGTCACAATGAAAGCAAAAGCTATACTACTAGTGTGGAAAGTGCACTATTGACTTTGCTCGGAGGAGTGTCAGCTACCATCGCATTACGATTCCTGTCTCTCTGAGGCCTACTTAGAGGAACAGGCCTCGCTTTGGTAACTTCGCGGCTTTCAACTGCAGTGACCAGCGCCTCTGGACTCTCGTTACACAGCTCGAATAGAGCAATCACCACAGCTCTGCAAGGAGTAAGTGAATCAGGCCGCAGAAAACTTCTGACATGATAACGAGAGAGGATAGGGCTGCATCGTAACGAACACGATACGTATCCCTTCGTGGTGCACTTTACTTTCGATTTACTCCGAATCTGTGCTAAAACTTTGAGTCTCACCGGTCAAATAGGCGCTGTCGCTCCCACTGAAAGTCAACGAGGAGACGGCGACCTACATTTTCCTCGTCGTCCCTGTAAATAAACTCAAGCTTTTGTTTAGACTGTGCGTTTCAGTGCAGTCAAATAATAGGTGCAGCTACTTACTCGGTTCAGTACCGGCCTTCGGCTTGAGCCGAATAAGAGCTGCCTACACGTACTTTTCGACGGTGACACGAATGGTCCAGAACTTCTCCGCAACAAACTTCTCAACCTCCAGGAACCTGTGAGCCCACCAAAGCATCCCCCACGATTAGGACTGCTGCTTGAACGCATCACATTCTAGGGGTCTCAGCCCAAAAAGATTTCACACATTGAGCAGAAGTAGTCGCAAGGGGGGCGGGAATTCACCAGGAAAGCTTACCGTTCCACGACGAAACCCAAGGTTGGGAACTGGCACGGGCCATAGCTGCAAAAGCACCGAGCCCCAAACAACTTCGAAGGGGCTTGGTCAGCAGACTTTGGCGGTGGTAGACGCATACTAGAATACGCGTGACTCCAAGCGAGGTGTGCAAATACCTTATGAGCCCTCTTTGCAGCGACAGTCTATTCTGATATCTTTTCGTAAGAAACCGCGTAAATGCCGCGCCTGTTCAGCATCCCCATACAAATGTAACAACGTAGTCAGTTGCTCTGGGCAGAGCAATAGCGGGCCCAGATCAAACACAATTAAAGGTGTAGCAGTCCTCACCGATGCGCAGATCAACCTCAGAGCGGGCGTCTGCTGCCTGCATCCAGATACACTCCAACCATAAACTGTAATTTCATAACATCAAACAGGAACACCGGGAGCGAGTCCTGCGGTTGCCTTCTCATTCAAAAACAACTAGGGAACGCATTTTCCAGCAACTTCAAGGTAAACTGAGAATATCTACAACCAGACAGACTGTGCAGCAGATAGGACGTGCCCCAGTATGGGCCAAAAGCATCTGTTTACTTACCTGTGAAAGTGCCTCATTTGGCTGTTGGAGATGTTCACATGCCCTCTCAATATCCTGTCCTGAACGCGGCACATAACTTCGGAGTGAAGAGCTCCTGTACTGAAAGTTCTAAAAGATGCCCTCACTGTTCAGGACAGTGCCTGTTCTGTAATGGGTTTACGATGACCTTACGTGTCACGGCAGAAAAGATTGCACGGAATGGCTGAATGTTCCTATTTGCCTCCCTACAAACTTGTAGTACCTACGACGCACAAATCCCTGTTCTACAATACAGCATAATCTTTCAGAGAGAAATAAAACCTGGGGGCAATAGTTGCATTCAAGGACAAAGCATCCAAACAATTGAACGCGTTTCATCCGCATGAGCTCTTTGCCTTTCTCAGACCTCAAAGGCAATATTTTCTCCTTCCCGGTCGCAGTCCAGCCACAGTACAAGCCACTGGCACCTATGCGAAGCGAAGACAAGACATAAATTTTCGTTGAGCTCCGGCCGCATTGAAAGTAGCCATGGTGGTTTTGCTAAAAGACGAACCCCTGAGGAGTTCTCGCCTTCCCAACCTGCGGGTGATCCCTACTTCTTTGCATAGGTCTTGAGATTTTCCACGATGTCTTTTGCGGAGTCGCTGACGCGTTTTGTCACGGGGGCTGTGGAGCGGTACAGGACAATGGAAACGATGAGTGCAATATGAAATCCGCAGCTTATTGGCACGATGCAGAATTCCTTAAGGGAGGCATTTTTAAGGTGCTAGGGCAAAATGAGAGCACCAGCTAGGCATAGTTACACGTCAACAAAGAGTTAGGCAGGATGCGCCATTGCTGAATATGCAATGCAACTATCATGCTGCAGTGAAAACTTTGTCACACTAAAAGGAGCCAATGTGCACTCACCAGTAAATAGGGCTTCAGGGAACACGGAATTCCACGACGAAAATGGGGCAGGAAAATCAAGAGACATGAGATGGCTGCACCAAAACGCGCAGTCCCTCGCTGAGGCAGTTGCTAGAGTGGAGACCGCGACGCAACAAGGCCTATAACTTTTCAAATGTGCGGCAATAGTCAACAGCTAGAGGCGCATCAATGCCATTTGCAGAGCCAGAGTCAACTTATGGCTCACCCTCGGACAGAAGTGAATATCATTTCGCATTGTTGGCCTTGAAGGACGCATGGAAACGATGTGACAGCATTGAACGTGCTGGAGCTCTGTAGCTGGAGGAAATAAGAAGAGCATCACGCGGGGCATCGATATAATTCCAGCACATAGAGAAGCTTCATGCTTTTCTGTCGGTTGCCAGCAGGCACTTGTTCTTCCTGCAGCTCACCCTGCGAACATTGTTTGCTCCGAGAAGGCGAGTTATCTCTTTCGCAACTGACGGCTTTTCCGCCACATTCAGTACCTTCAGGGTGGGGGGAGGCATCGCGGCCTAAGGTCATCGAGACGGAATGGCGGCATCACAGTCACGGCAAGCACGACCAACAGGGAGGAAGAGCTGGAGAGCTCATCCAAGTCCTTCAGGTCGGATGCCGATAGTCATGACTTCCACGTAGACGCACGTGCATCAGGCAACTAGGTTTAGAGCATCAGCACGATGAGCACCGAATAAACACACCACGACCTTGCACTGCCGGAAACTGCACTGTGTTCAAGATGTTGCCCCCAGCACGACTGGTTGGAGTATATTCAATTGATCAGGGCACGCCT